TGACAATAGAAGGACAATTAAGCACGAAACATGGACATATATTTCATGTTCCCTCTCCATTTTTTCATGTCTTGGATTAGAATATCCTTAATTGTCTATAAATGGCAATCCTTACTGTTCAATGTTCATTACAATTCCCTTAATCTACTATATAAAATAACAAGCGGTAAACATCTCACTTTGTTCATCATCTTAAAAGTTTTATATATGTCCATGTTTCGTGCTTAATTGTCCTTCTATTGTCATATTCAATTAATTAGCAACTCAGTTTAATTATCATGTATAACCTCTGCTTTACAATCACCGCATATCAGGTTCGTATTTGTCCATATTCCATATATTTTAACTTTATTTAATTATCTTTCCATTATCATATTCAACCAGTTAGCAACTCCATTTTATTGTCATATTTAGAAATAAATCCCTTATCTTAGCTTTATATTTTCCCATATAAAATTTCTAGTTGTCTGTTTTTTCCCTAGTTTTCCTTTTCCCACTTCTCTGTTCCTGCCTTCTTCCTTTTCTTTGTTTTGAGACGTCCACACTCTTCAATTTTCCTAAAGCAACTGTCAAAAAAATCTTTTATATTTCTCTTTGTTGCAGCGTAATCTCCTACTTCAATTTTCCTTATGCCACCGAAAACCTATAAAACATCTTTTGTCTGCTTTTTATTCCCGTTTGTTGGGACACATTCCACTTTTACAATTTTCCCTATACCACTGCCAAGTCCAATGAAGTTTTTTGTCTGCTTTTTATTTCCTTCTGTTTCTACCCCTTCATTATCTTTTTCCCCTTCTTTGCATTCTTCTTGAAATACCTGCTTCTCTGGGTTCAGAATTTTATTTAAGCTTAATTTTAATTATTTGTGCATATTTTTTTATAATTTCACGTAGTTCTTCAAATTCCCAGCTTTCCATGATGTCCACTTCCAAAGTTACAGTTTGTTATACAGTTCTTATTTCAAAGTTCTGATCCACCTTAAATTTATCTACTTCAGCTGCCGTGGGGAAGAGCAACCGGAGCCATCTTGGTCTGTTGTTCTTCCTTATTGTCCGGTTCCAAAATTAGTTAGTTATACAAGTCTTATTTCGAGGTTCTGGTCCACCTTAAATTTAGTTAATTCAACTACTGTGAAACCGGAAGAGAAGCTGGAGTCATCTTAATCTTTTGCAGAAAAAAAGGAAGAAAAAAAAAACCTTTGTATTTCCCAGTTCTTGACTCTGTTATTATTTCCTTTCCTTGCCACTTCTCACCTCTCGTTGGTCATAGCTGCTCAAAATATATTAATTGGAACAAGTTTGCATACAGCCAAAACTCGGATATGTTTCTTCTTCGCCTCTTGCTTTTCCAAGTTCTGATTTACGGTGGTTGGTTAATTAGAATTTCTCACACAGGCAAGATTAGGTTATCAGTTGTCAACGAGGAGATGCTTTTTCTTGATCTTTCTCCCTTGTTGCATTCCATCTCTCATTAATTAAGATTTCTTAAGATATGTTAGTTAAAAAACACTTGGACAAAATAAATCTTCACACTCCTAGACTCCTTTAAAAACACAATCTTTTCAAGTCGGAAGCCATATTTAGAGTTAGTATTTGAGTGGTTTGTCACTTCTCTGCTTTCTCCCTTTCTATCTGAATTGTTTCAAACAATGGCTTTTGGGGGGGAGGGCTAGGGTTTCAACCCTTCATTTTACTTTTATTTATTTCTTTCTT